TTAACTTGGAACTGATATAGCTGTACTTAACTTGGAAGTGATATAGCTGTCCTTAACTTGGAACTGACATGCAGTTGGTCAGCAGCATCCATCGTCAACCATTTGGCTATTATTATCTGACAGAATAATAGAATTTGACCGTCACTCTTATAGTCTACCAACAGCCCCAGAGGGTGGAGTGTGACCCTACAGTAATGGGACGCGAATCTTGAATCCTCTAATCCCCAGTCCGGAACACACTAGCTACAAGGCTGAGTCAAGTTCGTGAAAAAGTTTCTTCATTATTTTCTCAAACGTGCAGAATTTTCTGTTATAATCCCTTGAGGTTCGAGACATTTCCTAAGTCTCTGTACTTTCCAAGATTTTCCTTCGAACGTAGCCTGGTTTACACTATTGTACGTTCTTAAAGGATCTTGTCGATATATTCCTGATAATTTCTGCCTCCGTCCTTTTCTTTAATCTGAGGCGTGGCTTAGAGGTTAGAATATCAGGCTGAGGATCGAGAGGTCCTAGCTTCAGGTTCCTGATATGTTGTCGAACACGCTCGGCACTTTCAGCTGTGGGCGCGTTATAAAAGTACCAGTCAATTAGACTTTAGGAGTAATCGTGTGAGCTGCTGGTGTTGAGGTCTGGACGACGTTCCTCTGATTAACAGTACAAACTTAACAACGGTAATGCTTGAATCTCAGGGACTTTGACCTTCTCGTTTATCCGATAAGTCTCCTAAGGTGCCATTCAGATTGACAGTACCAAATACCACTTCAAATACCCAAGAAAAAAATTCGCTGCCTTATAAAGGTAACTTTGAGGGACCTTTATCTGTTTCGTAAGAAAGAAAAAAAAATCAGAATATTTAAAAATACGAAATTTTTTTTTGTCATGATATTTCTTCTCTTCCCCTCTCCCTCACCCTCCACCTACCATGCGTCCAAGCGTGACCAAGTGGTTAGTGGCAGAACTGTGTATTTGTGGGTCCAGCATTCATATCCCGTTATCTCAAACAACAACAAAATAAACGAACAGATAAAACTCTACATTTTAGGCCTAATGTTTACTAGGTTTTGGTTTTGTTTACCTATTGCTGAATTTTTATAGGCAAGAAAAGTTTTTCTAGTCTTAAAATATCCAAGGATTTGGCCGCCAGGCAGTGTTAGAGTACAGTTTATGACGTACTTCCGTCGGCATATAGCTCCATGATTGCACGTAAACGGAGTTTCTAGGCATATTGGTCCACGAGTTATTTATCGGCTGCTCAGGCAAGGACGCGGCTGTGAAAGCAAGCCAGTAAGAATAGTATATTTCATTCCGGAAGAAAAAACCGTAATAATTTCATAATGAAGCTTATCGCCGACCACGTGCCACGGTGAGTTTATAAGCCTTTTTTTTGTGTGTGTGTGTTTGTGTACTATACAGCCAGGTCTTATCGTATTTTTGATAAAACACACACATAAGCGAAACGATAATACCCATAAATATTTTTTATGGTTGTGACGTCATGCAAGTACTTTGATAACTTTGAAAATTGGGAGAGATTAAACACTAAAAACGGATTATCGTCGTTCATCATAACAAGTATTATGTACAACTTCCCCTGTTCTATCGCCGTAAAACTACGCTAGAAATAAGAAAGGTTCGAATACAACCCCTCCACCCCCAACCCCGGTGGGTTAGTACTACTTAAAACGCTAAAATTCGGGTTCGATTACAGACAAACCTTCGAATTTGAAATCTGAGAAGATTACTAACAATTATTTTACAGAACTAATGTAAGGAATTAAACTTTTGAAGTAATTGAACAGTAAAACATGTGCATTTCTTTCTTTTAGCTTTTTGGATTGTTTCAGAAGTAAGCTAGAAACGTTGTTATAAGACCTAACATTGTAAGCCTACTTAAATACATAGAAATAATTTTACAAGAAATACTGGCACGGATTTGTTTGTTGAATCTGTACAAGGGCTATGTGGGCTAGACGTACCTAAATTTGTACTAATAGACTAGAGAGAAGTCGGTTAGTTTGATCACTAGCCCACCCACCAACTCTTGGGCTACTCTGGTGTGACCCGAATAATGAGATTTTGGTTCTTGGGCTACTCTGGTGTGACCCGAATAATGAGATTTTGGTTCTTGGGCTACTCTGGTGTGACCCGAATAATGAGATTTTGGGTCTTGAGCTACTCTGGTGTGACCCGAATAATGAGATTTGGTTCTTGGGCTACTCTGGTGTGACCCGAATAATGAGATTTTGGGTCTTGAGCTACTCTGGTGTGACCCAAATAAT